ACGATTGTGGGCTCCACCGATCATGCAAGATATCGCGTGATCTCCAAGCTCGTCGAGTGCGTGGCCACAGACCCTGCCAGCGCGCGTGCGGTGCTGACAAAAACACGCAACGCCGAAGAGCGGGAGCCCGAGACGCCGGCGGAAATTGATGCGGAACTCATCGTCCGACCAAGGGGCCAAATCCCCAGTGGCGTTGGCTGTGAAACCAAGCCCGCCTTCTGGGCCGCCTTCGTACAGCCAGTGCTTTCGCTGCTCAGGCGTCCCTGCAGAGAGTACGGCATCGGCCGCTCGGAGCATCCACAATTTACGACGGTGCCGCAGCGCTGCGCCTGCAGCTACCGCGTGCTCGAGCGAAAATGTGTGGGCACCTGTTTGCGCATCAGGCTCCGGCTGCGGCATCCCCCACGCGTCGAGGAACACGCCGTTCGCCGCCAACCGCCCAAGGCAATCTCTGGCAGCAGCGAGCATGCCGGAACGCTCGTACCCTACGTCGATAACAGCTGGCTGCAGGTGGAGGACAAGCTGCCGAGAGGCTTTCGGCAGCACGCGGAGGAGCGTGGCGAGATACGAAAAATGAGCCTCAAGAGCAATGGGTCGAAGCGCCATGCCTCCATGGCTGAGCGGTGCATTCAGGGTGCTGAGACAGGCCTGCCACTGCGGGTCCGTGCAAGCAGGCCCCAAGAAAGCTGCCCGGACAAGATCGCTGACCGCGTTGTCCAAGCGACGTGCGTACGGCAGGAAGGCTGCCGCCTTCACAACACAGGCGCCGTAGGACAGAGCGCGGTTCAAGACCAAGCAAGCAAGCTTCCATAGAGGGCCCAACTTACGGCAAGTGAGTTCGGCATGCGCAACTCGCTTTAAAATCGAAGCGAATGCGATCGCTTTCTCGCACCGCTTTTGCACTGGGCCGAGGGTGGCCCCGTCGAAACTAAAATTCGCGCTGCACTCGCCTTCGGCGTGAGCTCCATGGAGAGTAAGACCAGACGCGTCGAATTCAGCATGCGGGCGCAGCTCGGCAGCGAGCTCGCCAGCGAGGGCCAGGTTTGAACGGGCAGCTGGCACGTGGGCTTTGGTCTTGTCGACGCGCAGTTTCAGCCCCCGTGCCGCAAAGCACCGCGTCGCGATCCGCATCGCTTGCAGCCAGTGCTCACGCGGAGCGGCGACGCAGACGTCGTCGACGAAAAGGCGGAGACGCGGGCGAGAGGACTCATCTGCGAACGCCTTGGAGTAGGCCTCAGAGATGTCGCAAATGCTAGCCGAGAATGCGAGGCCGAAGTCCGAGGTTGCACTGCGACCGCCCTGGCAGCAACCCTCCTGATCTCCAGCGTCTTGAACTGCTCCCCCACCTGGGCGTAGCGCAGCTGCCGGACTCCCCCGAACCACATGTTGTGCTGCAGTGTCGCCGTGCGCGGAGAGCAGGCGCGGGCCTGCTCGCGGGCGTCCTGGCGGCGGGCAGTGCCGAAGGCGTTCTCGAAGTCGAGCCCGAGGTAGACCCAGTGCATGTGGGCCGCCATGTCCGCCTGGACCTCGGTGATGAGGGCGGCAGTGCCACTCTCTGCGCCGGGCGCATGCTGGTTGCTGACGACGTGCGCGGAAACCCTGTGGAGCTCCGCGCGGCTGATGGTGCCCGCGGCGAGCTTGAACAGGACCTCCTGGAACACGATGGGGCGCGCCTTGCCCCCGCCCTTGTCCGAGGCAATGAGCTGCACGTGGAGCCACGGCTGCCGGATGAAGGCCGGCAACTGCCGGCGGGCCCACATCGATGCCCACCTCGAGAGTGTCCGCGTCGCGCGCGGGCTCCTGAGGGGCGCCTGGACGTGGGAATTACGCTCCCCGCTGGGCCCGGCGTGCGCCAGTGCACGAGCGCTCCAGATGCACGCGCGGGCCTGCTTGCACTCGACGGGGCTGCACTTGGACACTGGCGGGGCTGGCGGTCGCGAGGCGCGAGCCTCGGCGGAAGCAGGCGGCAACAGCGCGGTCAGCTTCTCGTGCGTCTCCTCCGTCGGCGGGAGGAGCTTCGCTCCTGTCAGCAGGCGCTTGGCCTTTCGGAGGTCGCCGATGTCGGCGGCCTCCAAAGCGCGAGTCCACGTAGACGTAGAGTCAGCATGCTGGGTGGCCGGCCCCCCGCCTGCATCGGCGGTAACAGGAGCAGGCGGTGCGTCCCGGAGGTGGCTGGCATGTCCAGCGCCACGCTCGGCATGACCCGCAGCCCACTTGCGTTCGTCCTGAGCGGCAGCAGTGACGAGGTCAAGCCACTGAGCAGCATTGGCGAGCTGCATCCTCGCGCGGAGGAGGCCGGCGAAGCTCTGCTGGGGCTGGTCTTTCTCCCCGCCGGCCCCGTCAGGGTCTGGCTGGACTGCGGCATGCTCGTCTGGGTCGGCAACGCGCTCGCGAAGCAGCAGGTGCGGCACCGCGAGCACCAGTAGGTTGAGCTCCTCCTGCACCAACGGCGGGAGGTCAGAGTCCAAGGCGTCCATGACCCTGTCGAGGGCCTGCAAGCGGACAGCCGCGCACTGGCGAGCGAGCCGCGTGGGCACCCACCTCGCCAGCGGTACGCGGCGAACGACCGGAAGTTGTCGAAGCGCCAGCAGTAGCTGACGCGGCCCACTTACTTCACCTGCAGCCGCCCGAGGCGGGCTGTCGGAGACAGCGGCAGGAGGTGCCTGCAGGGGCGGCACCCCCAAGAGCGAGTCCACCGCTGCTGCTGGTGCCGCGCTCTGCTGCTGCTGCTGCTGCTGCTGCTGCTGCTGGTGCTGCTGCTGCTGCTGCTTGCTGCTGCTGCTGGCCATGCGCGCACAGCTGCCGCTGCTGCTGCGGTTGCTGCTGCACCTCACTGCGGCTGCCATCCGTGCGCTTGCTGCTGCCGCTGCATCTCCTTCGGCTGTTGCTGGCGCTAGTCTTGTTCCCCGCTGCTCTGGGGTTTTCACGTCGCCCGCGAGGGCGCTCGCCCGCGAAGGCGAAGCGGGTGCGAGGGTGTTGCTGCGGACGTTGCTGCTCTCCACTGCGGTATTCATCGGTGTGCATGCTGCTTCCGCTGCCGCAGTCCTGGGTGCGCATGCTCCTTCCGCTATCGTTTGTCTTTTGGCTGTTGCTGCTCCTCCTACTTTTGGAAGCTGTCTTTGCACGCGCTTCGCTCGGCGTCACCCCGACATACTTCTACTATATGTGCGTCGCCCCCCCCCCCCCCAGGGGCGATGCGCGCACCGAGAAATCTTATAGTATATGCGTCTTGGCGGGCGCTTGACTTGGTTGTTCGGGTGTCTTTTTGCCCCGCCTCGGTTGAAGCTTAAAGGGGCGGAGTCTCCGATCCATTCTTTGTGCGCTGCTTGTTTTCTTTACTTTGAGAGGCCGGCCCACGCCAGGGATGAGGCTTGCCTGGGCCTGGCGTTCTTTACACCAGGGGTAGCATTGCCGAGTCGTCCTGGCGTCGCCTAGTTATTAGACTTTGGGTACATATGCGCGCTCGCTGTCTGCGCGCGTATCAGGCGCCCCAGATGTGGGGGAAGGTGTGCCGCACGTGTGGATGGACTTATACCGTGGGCTTGGCACGGGGGTGGATCTCCGCCCTGACGGATGCTATGCCTCGGGGTCTTGTTTCATCTCTTGGCAGACAGATCTGTATGAAGCCTTTTTCCCCCGCGCTGGAGCGGAAGAAGGTGGGTCCTTGATCGCTCCGCCCAATTGGCCATAGGGCCGTATCTGGAGGGCCCACCACGGGGACACTGGCTCGTCGGTTGAGTTAGGCCCGAAACAGGGATGGAGCTGGCTATCGTCCTGGAGTTCGTTACACCAGGGGTAGTGCAGCCGAGGCGTCCTGGCGTCGCCTTGTGTGTCTGACGCGCACGTGCGTGAGCGCGTTTGTTCGGGCGTCAGGCTCCCCAGTTGTGGGGGACGGTGCGCAGCACGCGTTTTGCGAGCTTGACGTGGGCCTGGCACGGGGGCCTCGACGCCCTGACCGTTGCCTTGCTCAGGCTCTAATTTCTGTCATCGTCCTGGCGTTCGTTACGCCAGGGACGAGTGTTGTCGTGCGCTGTGGGTGGGATGCTTGCACGTGTATCAGGCACCCCAATTGTGGGGGAAGGTGCCCTGCGCGTGTGGATGGATTTCCCTGTGGCTTTGCACGGGGGCGGAGGATGTCCGCCCTGACCGATGCCAAGCCACTGCAGGTTGGTTCCCCTTTCTCCCCCTCCTTTTCCCTGTTTGGGGGTTGGTTTCCCTGGAGCACGGCCAGTGGCCCTCGTGGGCCCCCAGCGACAGCTGCGCAGGCGAAGCCAGTGTGAGCCTTTCCCATTCCCCCTTCTGCTCAGCGCGGAGGGGGCAGCGTCCCTGGGCGCAGCGCCGCCCAGGGTGGCATTTTGCACCAAACGAGCGTCCTCTGAGGGTTTCGCCGCCCCTTAGTTGCATCGTGGCTGCATGGTGGATGTTAAAGCAAATCGCCCTCCTCCTCCTCCTCCTCCTCCTCCTCCTCCTCCTCCTACTCCTTGTGGGACTCTTCTGTTGTTTTCTTGAACGTGATCAGAACCGTTTTAGCGAAACGCAGCGCGCCCCAAGAGACCTCAGCTTTCAACGTGCGTGTTCGTCGTACTAGTGTCCGTGGATTGCGTCTCTACGACTTGCAGTGCGCGCGTCTCGCTGCTCCTTTGCCGGTAGATCGCGCGATTGGGATAGCCCTCTGATGGGCAGCGGATCTCTTCACCTGCCTTTACGGATTGCTTTCTCGTGGAGGAGCCCACAAACACAACAAAAACAACATCCTGAGAACAGGAAAAGTGAAAAAAGGCAGGTCGAGGAGTAGGAGGTCGGTAAAGAGGGTAGTGAAAACGTGCAGTCCCAGGTATGCCGACGGCTTCCGAGGGAACCCTGCTCCCGCCCACTCGGTCTGCCGGCGCCCTGGCTCGAGCCAAGGCCCCCGCCCTACGGCAACGCCCTCGCAGCGGCTCCTCCCCGGCGCCCCGCGCGCGCGCGAGCGCCTGCGGCGGCGGCGCGCAGGCGTGTCGCGCATGGGGGCGCCGTTGGCGCCCTCCGGTGAGTTCGCCGAGGAGGTGGCGCAGGGCGCCACCACCGTCGTCGTCGTCGGCGTCGCCGTGCGCGCTGCTGCGCCGCCGTCATAGTTGAGTCGTTTGTCGTCCTCGCCGCCATCACTCGTCTTCGTCGTCGTCGGCGTCGGCGTCGGCGTCGGTGTTTCTTTGGGTCGCGCCGGACCTCGTGCCCCTCTGGGCGCGCGTGGCCAACCCAGAGTCCCAACATCCAAGGTTTCGTAGGGCCAAGGCCGTCCTGCACTTGCAGAGGTCGAGCCTCGAGGCTTTCGGATGTTCTCACCGGTTCCCTGCGGCTTGCCAGTCTCGAGGTGCCTCCCAGCAGCTGCACCCCGCCGGGATCGTGTGGGGGCTTGCAGACCGCCCCGCGAGGCCGCCGGAGGCCCGAGGCATGGTCAGGGCCGAGCCGAGTTTGGGTCCGCTCTGCACCCGGCTCCTGCACTCCCCGCGTCCCCCCCTCCTCGCGACAGAACGACACGCGCGTTCTCGGCCACTTCTCGGCCTCCGGGGGCCCCTACCGGGCCCCAGGACCCAGCCACGACCCAGCGGCGACCCACCCGCGACCTACCCCGCGACCCACCCGCGACCCACCCCGCGCCCAGTCCGCGACCCACCCGCGACTCACCCGCGACCCACCCGCGACCCACCCACCCGCGACCTGGCCCGCGCCCCACCCGGGCCCCACCCGCGACCCACCCGCGACCCACCCGCGACTCACCAGTGACCCACCCACATTGCTTTGACGAAAACATCGGCGCCTGCGGCGGGCTCGCTGGATAAGACCTGTTTCCTTATTTTTGGGGCATGCCGGGCGTTATGGCCCCCGCCGCCCCCCCCATCCCCCCATTGACGCAACGGTCCCCCCCCAGTGCGCTCTGGGCACTGCCACCGTGCGCATCGGGATCCGCAAAGATGTAGGAATCCGCATCGGATTCTGGTCCGCGGTCGTCGTCGTGGTCGTCGTCGTGGTCGTCGTCGTGGTCGTCGTCGTCGTCGTCGCTCGTCGCTTCCGTAGCCATTTTGGCTCAAGATGGTCACTGCCCGTGGCAGAGCACGGAGACCCTTGGTCCAGGGCCAGCTAGAAGGACTAAGCTATCACGCCTTCCTCGCGCCCGCGAGGTCGAGCTTCATATCCCGGCCGAGGCCGATCCCATCGCTCCCATGGCTCTTGGCGGCGGTGGTGGTGGCGAGTGCGGCAGTTTCGTACGGCGTCCATGGGCAAAGGTGTGGCCCTGGCGTCAGCAGGAGAGAGGACGGAAGGCATTCTGTCAGCAGTGTTGCGCTTGGCTGTTCATGGACAGGCTCGCGGACGCTGACTTCAAGTGCAAGTGCGGCGCCAGCAGCTGGGGGGCGGAGCCATCAGGAGGAGGAGCACCAGATCGTTCGCAACGTGACGGAGGCTTCGACGACTGGGGCTGGCCAGTCCTCGGAGCAGGGCGTGGCAAAGGCAGGCGCAAGGGTACTGGAGGAGGAGGTGATCTACAGCGGCCAGGAGGTTACGGAAATCAATCTGGTGGTGGAGGCGGCGGCAAGGATGACAAGGTGGCCGAACTTCTCGCACAAGCAGCAGCACTGGCTGGCGACGGCGCTTGGAAGCAGAAGATCGAGGCCCTACGCGCAGAGGCAGCACCACATCCACCAGCAGTTCAGCATCCACAGCCTGGATCCCGTCAGGCGCTCAGAGCAGCAGAAGATCGAGTACAAAAGGCACAGAGTGCGCAAACGAAGGCCTATCGCCGCCGAGAAAGGCTTCGAGAAGAACTCAAGCAAGCGGAGGATGACTTCAAGCAGCGCAGTGCAGAAGTGGCGGCGGCAGAGGCAGAGGTCAAAATCGAACTTCAGCGACATCCCCTCGGAGGCGACCTCAAGTGTGACGGGGCGCAGAACGCGAAGAAGCAGCGCGTGCTGCCCCTGGGCGCCCTCCTGGAGGACGAGGAGATCGACGTCGACCTGGGCAGCCTCTTCGAGTGCGCGAGCGACGACAACATCTCGGAGGCGGACAAGCAGGAGCTCGAGAAGAGGAAGAAGCTCTTCCTGGAGGCCGCGAAGGGAGCGGCGAAGGAGGCCTTCGCACAGGCGGCAGCTACACTCAAGCAGCAGAAGCAGCAGGAGCAGGAGTTCCTGGATCGGATTCGGAAGAAGCGCAAAGCGGACGCAGCCGAGTCTGAACTGGACGGAGCTGAAGCTGGAGCATCGGGAGGAGCGCCAGCGTCAGGCGGACCCCCTGCAGCTGCAGTGGGTGGGGCTCCACCAGCAGCGGCACAGCCAGCAGCAGCGGCAGCACCCGAAGCAGCAGCGCTATCCGAGAAGGAGGCGAAGGAGAAGCGTGAGCTGGCGGCAGCGGTCGAGGCCGCAAGGGTCGCAAACGCAGCTGGGCGAAGGGGTACGGCGAGCTCCTAGCCATACGATTTTCACGCAGAACTTGTCGACCTGGGGGCCCAGGTTGAAGAAGAAGATCGACTCGCTCAGGGACGACGTGATTATCTTCCCTGAGACGCACGTCGGCGCCGACGGCACGAACGAGATCGTCGAGCACCTGGACTTCAGGGGCTTCAAGGCGGTGGTCACGCCGTCGGTCAAGAACAGGCGGAGTGAGTTGGCAGGCGGCATCGGCATGGCCATGAGAGGTTTCTTGTCAGTGACGTCTATGCGACACTTGGCAGCGAAGAAGGAGCAGGCAGTGGGGATGCGGTATCTGGACGGCGATTGGGAGCCAGGGCCGATCGACTTCCAGGACATGGTAGCAGCGCAGTGGCGGTGGCGCGGGCAGTCGGTCCTGGTCATCGGCATGTACCTCACGTCGTCTATCGGCATGAGCGGCGAGAACCACCAGAAGATGGCGCGCCTCGCGGCGCTCACGCGCGGCCACAGTGGGCCGTGGGCTGCGATAGGCGACTGGAATGCGGAGCCGAGGGAGCTCCAGGCGGCAGGGTGGTTAAGACTGCTCGACGCGAAGGTGATCACGCCAGCTGACGTCAGCTACACGTGCACGCGCAACCCTGCGCGCATGCTCGACTACGTGGTGTGCTCGGAGACGTTCTCGATGATCGTGGATAGAGTTGATACAGATCGCCATGACCCTGGGGATCACTACGGCGTACGAGTCCACTTGAGGGGGGACTCGAGGATCGCGATGCAGCGCAACCTGCAGCTCGCGAAGCCCTTTCCCTTGCCAGATATGCCGAAGCGGAAGGCGGACCCGAACAGCAAGCGGTCCAGGCAGAAGGCGAAGAAGCAGAGCGAGTACGAGGCAGGTGCGTTGAGCGCTGCGAGGAATGCGGAGGCCCCGCCCTCCTCGGAGCCCTCCCTCCCCAGGTTTGATCGAGGCGAGCGGAAGAAGGACGTGGTCGTCTGCGAGGCGGTGCCGCAGGAGTGCCAGCAGCAGAGCGAGCTGGCGGAGCTTTTCGGCGGGAGCAGCGACGAGGACGGGATACTCAGCGAGAATGAGGAGGCCTCGGAGGAAGCTGTCGCCGAGCCGAAGGCGGACGAGATCTTCGACCTGGAGATCGAGAAGCGCAACCTCCTGTGGCACGAGAAGTACCGCACGGCAGTCGCCGAGGACCGCATCGCCTGGAGGCAGCCAGCGCAGTACGTGAAGCAGACGCTTGCCTACACCTTCGACGAGGAGGGGGCACGCGAGCTTGGGGCACGCTACGGCGCCTGGGTGCACGCGGTGGAGCAGTACTACATGGCGTCTCTACAGATCAAGGCCGAGGAGCGCAGCATCTACCTCGGGCGCGGCGAGGAGGTCAGGTTCAAGAAGGGCAAGACCAAGCTCGGCATCGGCGTCAGCGCCGACCTGGATCAGTCAATCAGGTGGTGGGGCACGCTGGCGTCGTACCTGGTCGAGCTGCAGCGCTGCGAGGGCAAGGGGCAACGAGCGCAGCGGCTACGTGACGACTGCAGAGCACTCAGCAGCACGATGCCTAGTGGCGGCGTCATCAAGATGACAGCGAAACAGAAGAGGAAGTGGCGAGTGGCTCTCAGCGGCATACGCGGCATGTCCAATGTGCAAGTGCAGCACCTCGGCGTGGCCGCGCTCACCACAGCAAAGAAGGGTAAGCGCACGGAGGTTGGCGAAGCTTTGCTGGCCTACACTAATTGGGTGCAGGAGCAGGAAGCGGCAGGCAGCGGCAAGTTGCACCGCAAGACGAAAGACAAGCCGAGGTGTGACAATGAGGTGCGCAGCCAGGGCGTCACCGCATCGGACATGGTGGAGTACATGGACGCGAAGGGCGCGGTGTGGAGCAAGAAGTGGAAGAGCAACTTCAGCACGCAGGCAATCGTGCAGCGCCTGGAGCAGTCTCGGAAGGTGGCCACGGAGGAGGACTGGGCGCCCATCACCATCGAGAGCCTCAACGTTGCCATCGACACGATGGCGAAGAGCAAGGCGAAGGGCGTAGAGCAGATGGGCGCCCTGGCTTTCAAGTGGTTGCCCCCAGAAGCCAGGGAGGAGTTGCGCATCATCATCGAGGAGGTCGAGCGCACTGGTACATGGCCGTGGCAGCTGATGGTCACGCTTGTCAGCTTGCTGCGCAAGGATGCAGGAGGAGACAGGGCGATTGGGCTGCTGCCCGAAGTGGTCAAGCTCTGGTCCAAGGTGCGAAGCGAGTTCACCAACGAGTGGGTCGTCGCCATGGCGGGGAAGTGGGATGCAGCGATCGCGGGGAACAGTGCTCTCAAGGAGGCCCTGGTTCGCTCCTTCTCCGACGAGGTGATAGAGTGGATGCCAGTGAAGATCTACTCGGTGACAGCGCTGTGGGACCTGGCGGAGTTCTACGACACTCTAGAGCCCCTCCTCATCCTGGACGAGGGGCTCAGGCTGGGGCTTCCAGCCCGCACTCTGCACCTGGAGGTGCTGAGCCACCTAAGTGCACGCCTCATCAGAGAGAGGACGGCTTACGCAGAGCCGATCGCGCCCGACAGGTCCATCTGCGCGGGCGCGAGGCGGGGCATCGACTTCGGTAGGGTTGCGCTTTACGCCGTGCTGGAGCGGGTGAGCACAA